TTTTTTCCGGCGAAGGAGATGGTGCTAGGTCTTGGGGGGATAGTTTTCTTACCCTTCCTTACTTTCGCTTTAACCCGAGGCATATTGGGATGATGATGCTGATGGGCTGCCGATGCTCTAGAGAGCCTAGGTTTAAGATGAAGGGAAAGGACAGGGCGTGAAAAAGGAATAGGGAGGGAGGGGAAAGAGTGCTATCGCACAATTAGGGTTCTTCAACCTTTTGGGCTGCGATGGTCTTTCTCCAAAATTATCTTCTTAAATAACTAAACCTTTAAATCTCCTCATTAATACACAGATAATGCCCAACTACCCGCTTGATCACTTCCTTTCTTTTGATAGTTTTTGAATTTTAAAACTCCCACCCTTTTTATCTTTCCTATAAAAAAAACGCCCCATTACTTCCTAAAAATGGGAAGGAAATAATGTCCTAAAACGATTTTCGGTTTTAAAACCTCTGACCCACAATTTCTTTTCTGATGGATTTGCCTGCTTCGGGCAATGATTGCTTTTCTTTTCCCTCTAACTGCTCTTCATCTTTTAAATCCAACTTTATTTTTCGTAACCCTTGATTTATGCTCCAGCATCAACAAAGTTGACCACATTTTTCTCAACTTCATCATTTCTGCTCTTATATTCTCAGCTGCTAAATAGGAGCATATTTCCCTTGCGTGAAACAAAACAAAAAAAAATCAAACAAAATTGCCTCAAGTTAAAACCTTCCTAACTGCTACTAAGAACTTTTAAATCTACTTAACAAGAATTAAACTAAAAGAGAGGGGAAAACAAATAGTCAAGAATTCTTCCCCTTTTTATTTTTGTCTGGTACATCCTTTAAGTTGACCTCAGCTAGTGGGAATCCATATTCCTCACCATTTCTCCTCCCTAGTCGTGCTTCAATCTTTGCCCATTCAATGTGAATTCCCTTTCTGTGTTCTCATCTTTGACAGTTACAGCTCCATAGGGATACACCTTCACCACTATAAACGGACCTGACCACCTTGATTTTAGCTTTCCAAGAAACGATTTCAACCTTGAGTTGAATAACAACACTTTTTGTCCTGCCTCGAATGTTATTTGCTTTATCCTTCTGTCATACCAAACTTTGGTCTTCCTTTTATAAGCCTTTGCATTCTCATAGGAATCTCTCTTGAATTCATCCAATTCTAGCAGTTGAAACTTCCTGACTTCTCCTACTATTGATAAATCCATATTTAGCCTTTTTACAGCTTAAAATGCATTCTGTTCCAACTCAAGCAGCAGATGACATGCTTTCTCAAATACTAGTTTACATGAGGAGGTTCTTATTGGAGTCTTTTAGGCTGGTGTGTATGCCCATAATGCATCGTCCAACTTGAAAGACCAATCTTTTCTGCTCGTACGCACTACTTTCTCTAAGATTCCTTTGATTTCTCAGTTTGATACCTCTGCCTGGCCGTTTGTTTGGGGGTGATATGCGGTGGACACCTTATGCTTGATATTGTATTTCGTCAACAGGAAACTTATGGCCTTGTTAACAAAATGAGATCCTTCGTCACTTATAACTGGCCTAGGAGTTCCAAATCTAGTAAATATGTTCTTATGCAAGAGCTTCAAAACAATCTTTGCATCGCATGTCACACAAGCTATGGCTTCCACCCATTTACAGACATAGTCTACGACTAGAAGAATGTAGAGGTGACCATTTGATGGGGGAAAGGTCCCATGAAGTCTATTTCCCAGACATCAAAGAGTTTTACCTCAAGGATAAAATTTAGAGGCATTTCTGACTTATTTGAGATTTTCCCTACCCTTTAGCACTTGTCACAGTTCTTCACATATAAATGTGAATCTTGGAAGACTATTGGTCAGGAATAGCCACTTTGAAATATTTTGGCTGTAGTTCGCTGTCCTCCAAAATGTCCACCATAAGGAGCAGAGTGACAATGCTCGAGCATTGTCAATGCTTCAGCACTTTCAACACATCTACACATAATTTGATCTTCGCATAGCTTGTACAGGTAAGGGTCATCCCAATAATAGAACTTACTGTCATATGAACCTTTTTAGCTGTTGCTTCTTCATGTCTAGTGGTTGAATCCCACGAGCCACATAATTGGCCATGTCAGCAAATCATGGCTCTATATCTTTCTTCTTTTCTATCACCACTAACAGCTGCTCATCAGGGAATGCATCTTGTATAGCAGTCTGCCCTTCCACTGTTCTCTCAAGTTCTACTCTCGATAAATGGTCTGCCACTTGGTTCTCCGAACCTTTCTTATCTCTGATCTCCAAATCGAATTCTTGTAGAAGAAACACCCATCTAATTAGCCTTGGCTTGACGTCCTTTTTGGCTAGCAAATACTTGATGGTTGTGTGGTCTGTGTATACAACTACCCTCATTCCAATAAGGTAAGCTTTGAATTTTTCAAATGCAAAGACCACAGCCAGCAGCCCTTTCTCAGTGGTAGTGTAATTGAGTTGAGCTTCCACCAATATTCTGCTGGCATAATAAATTGGGTGAATCAGCTTCCCTTTCATAAGTCCCAGCACAGTTCCTACCACGTAATCGCTAGCGTTACACATGACCTCAAAAGGTTCCTTCCAGTTTGGGGCTATCATGATGGGAGCCTGGATAAGAGCTGCTTTTAAAGTAGTGAAAGCTTGCAAACAATCAGAAGAAAAGTAAAAAATTCGTTCATTTTCTAATAGAGAGCATAAAGGTTTAGAAATTTTTTAGAAGTCCTTAAGGAATCTCCTGTAAAACCCTGCATGCCCAAGGAAACTTCTAACTCCTCTGACTGAGGTGGGTCGTGGCAGCTTCTCTATTACTTCCATCTTAGCTCTGTCCACTGCTATTCCCTTATTGGATACTTTGTGGCCCAACATTATTCATTCATTCACCATAAAGTGGCATTTTTCCCAGTTGAGCACCAAATTGGTGTCCTCGCACCTCTTCAACACCTGCTCTAAATTCCTCAAACATTCACTAAAGTCCCCTCCAAAGAATGATAAATCGTCCATGAACACCTCAACCACAATTTCTATTAAATCCGAGAAGATTGTCATCATACACCTCTAGAATGTTGCTGGAGTGCCATTGCACAATCCAAAGGGTATTCTACTAAATGCAAACGTACCATCATATGGGCGAGTGAATGTAGTCTTTTGCTGGTCTTGAGGGGATATGGTAATTTGGTTGTAACCACTATATTCGTCCAAGAAACAATAGTATTCTTGCCCAGCCAAGCGATCTAACATCTGATCAATGAATGGTAGTGGGAAGTGGTCCTTCTTGGTTGCTGTTTATGCAAAGAATTGCAAAACGCTATTCACGAACCTAGCTTGAACCCAGTCTCCGGCTCGACCTGAACCTTGGAGTGAACCTACACAAGAGGGCAAACTCTCCGACGCTCAAGTCAGTATAGGTCAGACTCAATATCAAGTTCGAGGTAAGATTCGATACCTGAGCGTGAAATGAGGCCCTCTATTTATAGGTGGCGGGTCCGACAGTACTCACGACCGGTGGTTACCTTTTTTTTTCATGTCGAACCTGTCGGGTTTGAGCAAATCGAACCCGTCCAGGTCGAACCACGGCTTTTTACACTTAGCCTTGTTTATGGACAAATTCGGTCTCCTCGGCAGGTTCGAGGTGGACCTGGAATATTCTTTTATTTGTACACACCACTGAGGGTTCTCCACGTGTCCGCAACATTTTTCCCCTAAACATTGGCCCCCTTTTTGTCAGGTTTGATCTCGATCTGGCAGAGAAGTTACTTGGTTCAAATTAGGACACGTGGCGACTTCTGGTTCGTAGAGAGAATATAACCGTTGTAGAGGCGGGAAACGTTTCGATCTGCTAGGCTGTCGGAGCGTTCGAGTTATTCCGACGTTACGAATTCCGAGATGATCCCAGCCGCTGGTTCATTACACGTGTACGGTATAGAAACGTTTCCAGTTTGCTCTAAATAACTCCAAGACTTCAGGTCAAACCTTACGCTTCCTGAATTCTTGGAGTTCGATCTCAAATCAGCTCGAACCCTCCTTAGGTTAGTCGCTTTCTTTGCTTTAATCTTGATTTCAAATATGGTAGTTTTAATGTCATCCTCCTCTAGCAGTGATAGCTTAGGTAGTGCAGGTCGGACTATAAGCAGTTCGCCCCCTAAGCCAAGTGACTCTGGGGAGGATTTAGCTCATAGGTTAGAGTCCGAGCTGGAAGAGGTAGAAAATTTTAGGTTTTCTGATGATGGGGAAGATAGTGACACTTCCACCTCCAGCCAGGGTCTGGAATACCCTTCGAAAATGCCTGAGCACTATCTCGAACCCCTTCGTAGGGGGTTTAATATTTCGAAAGATATCATCCTTAGGATTCCGGAGGAAGGGGAAAGAGCTGACAACCCTCCAGAGGGATGGGTCACTCTTTACTTAAAGATGTTTGAGTACAACCTCAGACTTCCCCTTCACCCTTTTGCCCAAGAGTTCTTAAACCGAACTGGACTGGCTCCTGCTCAAGTGGCCCCCAATGGATGGGGTGTCATTTTTGCTTTGGCCATCCTTTTTTGGCTACGAGCTCGAGAAGAGGACGAGGCCAATCTGCTAGATGTTGAACAGCTTCTAGGGTGCTTTGAAGCTAAAAGAATAGCTAAGAAGCCAGGTCGGTACTACATGTGCGCAAGGAAAGGCGTAGGTGGTATACTCAAATGGCCGACCTCCATCAAAGGATGAGTGAAGAAGTGGTTTTTTGCCTCTGGAGAATGGCTGCAAAGAACGAGTCTGGTGGTCCCTTTTTTGACGTTCCCGTTAGGTTTGAGAATTCAGGTATGGAGTCGTTCTAATTATTTTTGTAGCTTTAAATCTTACAGCTCTTTTGCTTCTCATATYTGACTTTAATTCTTCTYTGTCTTGTGCAGTATCGATCAAACCAATTCCCGAGCTAAGTCGAGCATCCTGGAATACCCTCAAGTATTATAAGGATCGCTTCCCAAGAGGCAGGAAGATCGGAATCTTGGTGACTGACAAGCTGCTGCTTGAATCCGGGTTGTTAGATTACAATCCCTTAGTACGTCCAGTCGAAGCTTCGGTCGAACTCTGAGCTCGATAAGTCGAGCTCGACCTCACTTTAAATTTGTATTTCGATTTCAGTTTCTGACCTTTTACTTGTTTGTTTTGCAGCGATGGTGTGCGAATTCACAGGCAGCGTGAAACGCAAGTCTAAGGGCCGTGCTCACGCCCTTAAGACTGTTCAGAGCACAGAGCCAACGACTCCTGCTGTTGCTCAACCTTCGGCTCAAGACAAAGCTGGGCCATCTGCTGAAGTCCCAACTCCGGTGATCGAGCTGGACTCTACTGGGGAGCACTCTAGGGAGAAGCGTCCGAGGAGCGAGTCCGAGGCGCTGGATGTGTCACCTCTGTGCGAGGTGAGAGAAGAGTCTCTTCTGAAGAAGAGAAGGAAGAAGAAGAAAACCAC